GTGGAAAGATCCACCTTAAACCGAGTCTTCATTACCATAGTTACTGAGTTTAGATTTTCCTAGTATTTTAATTTTATCCTATAGAAGTTATCATCTAAAGTAACATTCATACTTATTATGAATCTTGGTCTTCCTCCAAATTTCATCTTCCATACCTTATAACCCTTCACACTTTCAAGATGATAAATGAAGACACATTTCACATGTCTAATATCATGCTTGCCTCGCTTGATATGTGCACTCTATACCTTCGTCTTTCTCTTAAATTTAATTTGAAGTTGACAGACATTCGCTGATGAAATAAATTGTTGTACTTATAGTTAAACCAAAGAACACACATATCATATGCTCCAAGATGGTCTTGCTCATGTGTTTTCGAAGACTATTTTTTTTGGAGTATGTGTAGCACAACCCTATGTCTCTTCATAAATTTATTTCTTCAAAATTGATTAAACTTTTATAAGAGAAACTCGAAGCTTTTGTCAATCATTAAAATTCTTTTGTTTAGTTCCTATTTGATTTCCTACAAGAGTATGTCACTATCTCTAAAATTTTCAAAGATAACAAATTTATTTTTTCAAAATGTCAACCTATGCTCTTCTAGAGAATCTTCAATCATGGTAAAAAAAATAGGAACCACCCCCCTTAAGTCGTCACTCTTGTCGTACCCTAAAAATCTAAGTGAATATATTCAAATAGTCTACTAAAATTATACATATATATATCCCTTAAACATAACCTTATGTTGTTTATCTAGTATGTGATTATCATAAATTACAATTTCTCCATTTTATCATCTCCTAAAAAAATTGCTCAACTAAACACTTATGTCTAACAATACCTAACCCTAAATGTTATACTTTAGTTTTATCATAAAATTCTTTACTAGATAATTATGTATGACCCATAATATCGAATCGTCCAAAATAAATAAATCTTGTATATTCGAACCTTAGAAATAATCAATGCCTCTGCAAGATTCTTAACATATCATGTTCGATTTCAATACAATAATCCAATCCATCAAACATGCTTATAATCCAATCCTATCTAATAAGAACAATAGTGAAGAAAATATAAATGACAACTAATGACCAAATAGCTTCGAACAATAAAATAACTTTTGTGTAGAGCAACCACACAATAAACCAAAGCATAATATAAAGGAGGAAAATGAATAAATACCTTTGTCAAAAGAAGATAGAATATTTTTGACCCACCAATGAAAAGTTGTAGCAAAATTTACTAGAAATTAGCTTCCAAAGTTCTCCAACAACAATAACTAATTCTTACTCCTTGCTATTTTCACTCGACTTAAAAATTAAGGCCATTCGCCTCGTGCGAGTCCTAGACTCCTTGCAGCCCGTGTAGTGGGTAAATACACGCCTCGTGGATGAGGCAATGGAAAAATACAAATAAGAAATTTTCCACCCATATCATGAATCTTGCTAGACGTCTCGACCCTTGCTAGGTTGCTCACAGATGTAGTAGTGCATGACCAAGTGTAGATACTAATTTCTCAAATCAAAGAGGATTACAATAGATGACAAATATCTTTTTTTCAAAAGAATCAAACCCGTAACTTCTAGTTAAACTGAAAAACACATTTACAATCTCATCAAAATATTCTTTACCTTCTCATTCAAATGTTCTTTACCATTTCATCCAAGTGCTCTTTAGTCTTAGAATGTTACTTCAACAACACATTAATTAAATTTGTCTAAATATTTTATCTTTTATATATATTTTTTGAACAAGTAACTTAATGACTGTAATTTTAAATTTTAAGGATGAAAATATGAAATATGTCAGGTAGAGGTCAAACCTGTTTATGTTTATTTTTTGTATTTTAAATTAAAATATTTCTGCACAACTTTGTAGACTCTCGAAATTTTAAAAAAAAATTTTCTATGTTTGATAAAAAGTATACCATTAAAATATATATAGTTAAGAGAATCAAGTATTTAAGTATTGCCACACTATTATCTGATTCTGTTTTAAAAATTTAGATCGGACATCAAATTAGTGAGAATATCAAATTATTAATTCATTGTTGAACTGTATATGATGAAATTGAATTAAATCGAATAGTTTGGTTACTACAAGAAAAAGTGATATTAACAAGGAGTAATTGTGAAGTGTTATACCTCTCACTAAATTTAAACGTTGTTTGAAAATATACCCTTCGCAAACTACAAATTAGAAAACAAAATAAAATAAAAAACAAGGCGTGGAGAGCCTCGTCGCAATATTTAAAGAGGGACTTTTAAATTTTAACAAAATACTACCCACTTTACACTTAGTGAGGGGTATAACTTCACAAAATTGACTATAGCCATTGCGTGGAATAACCCGTCGCAAAATGTAGCTATTGTCCCATTCAAAATTCAGGGCACAACTCCTTGTGTGAAGGTGTTCAGGGATTCTTTTACAATTAGCGAGGGGCAATCTCTAGCAACTTATTTATTTGTATAGTCACTTCACCACTTCTTGTACAGTGCATACTTTGTTGGGAAAAGAAAATCTCTCTCTCAATATCAATACAAACTCTCCATCTTCAAATCTTCATATAAAATTTCATCATCTTTTTAAGGTGATTCTAATTTTCGTTTTTAATTTTAGGTTATATTGTTATTATCTAAAGCTACTAAGAAACTCAAACTTAAAGTGTTCATCTTCAAGATACCTTTAAAAAAAAACACATTCTGTTTATTTATTGAAATGAGTTATTATGATATATTTGTTGTGAAATATAATTTTTTAACAGTTTAAAAGTAATTAGAAAATAGTATGACAATTTTTATAATTTATTTATAAAAAAACAGAATAAAAAACATAGTAAAAACTTGTGTTTTTTAAAAATAAAATTTATTATTTGAAAAAGTATTATAATCTTTTAAAAACAGTATTATAAAACAGTTTAAAAATAATAGTTAAAAGAATATTTAAATATATAGTTTAAAAGTAGTATTTTTTTAATACGGATTTTTTTTATAATATTTATGTAAAAAACAGTTTTATAAATTAGTAGATATAATTAATTAAAAAATTAACTATTTTTTAAAAAAAAAAGAATTAAAAACATTATAAAACTATTATTTTTTAAAAGTAGTATTCTTTAAATAGTATTCTTTAAATAGTATTATTAAAATAATGTTATTAAAAAATATTATTAAAAACAGTTATATTAAAAACAATATTATTAAAAACAATATTCTTAAAAAAATTATTAAAAACCATTATATTAAAAACAATATTGTTAAAAATATTATATCCTAAACAATATTATTATTTTTTAAAATAGAATTGTTAAAACAGTATAAAAAACTATAAAAAAGGAATAATGTTAACTATATTATTGTTGAAGAAGAAGAAAAAGAGCACGAAGAACAAGATGGACAATAAATAGAATAATTAAAATTTGAATATTTAAAATTTACTTTAATTTGTATGAAAGAATTTATGTTAACTATTTTAAATACTATAATTTTTTTGTAATTTACATGAAGTTTTATTTTAATTTTTTTATTATTTTTGATTATGTTTAATTATATTTATTCTATTAATTTTATTATAATTATTGTATTATTATTATTATACTATTGTAAATATATTTATATTATAAATATATTATAATTACTGTATTATTATTATTTTTATTATGTTAATATTTTTTTTTATAATTATAAATTATAATTTGTCAGAGGGTAAACTCTAAGGTAAATGTCAATGATTTCATTTTGTCATGGGTTAAACCCCTAGCAAACGAAAAAGCATTTGCATTTTGTCATAGACATAATTCCAAGTAAAAGTCCTGATGCCCTGCAGCACTAGCTGATCCCCTAGCCTGCAGCTACGTCTGCGTGTGAGAACATGTAAAATATATTTTTCATTTTGCGAGGGGGTATGCCCGTGGCAAAATGGTGATGTTGAAAGTCCTATGCAAATACATTTGCGATCCTCTGTTTTATTAGGGGATCAACCCCCTCGTAAATTTTGTATTTGTGAGAGGTTTTTACCATTTGTGAGAGGGTTATCCCCTGACAAATAATATTTTTTCTTGTAGTGAGTTAAATAAATCGGTCTATATAATAAAATCATATAGTTATTAAAGCGGTCGAACCGGATGCCTCAGTCTCTAAAAAAATCATGACACCTACAAAATTACAAAATTTTGAAATGTCATAATTTCACAAACTTATTCTTTAAAATCAAATTTTAAATATAGTCATCATATCATACACAACAAAATAGTACATAATATAAATCTATAATACAAAATAGAAATCTAAATAAATTTTGAGTCTAATAAATTAGATCTAAGAAGAAAAACGTGTTCCATTTAAATTTTGAGCAAATTTTTATAATATTTTATTTATATTTTTTTACATTAACAAAATGATATATCGTTTTGTCTAAAAAAAGCAAATATTTGACTAATCAATTTTCTAAAATTGTCGGTTCCGACTTATATCGATTTTGGTTAGTTATGATCGATTTTCACTGATTCAATAATTTAACCAATCTAACAATTAAATTAAAGCAACAATCATTCCGATTTTCGATTGGACCAGTTGGCAGTCGGGTTTAACTTTTAAAACATAGTGGTTATTAGATAAATAATTAGTGATTTTTAGATTGCGGCTTTGATTCAACTATAACAACAAAAAAAAAAGGCATTTCAAATTAATTTCTAGGTCCCACACGTCTTTAACCTTGTAACGATATAATTTTTTCCAATGAGGAAATTTTGATAAATATTCAAGTTGACTTACGATGGTTGTTATGTCCAAAGTCTTTACATGTCACATATATCAAATTTAAAGCAATCTAAATTTCTAATAATCGCTATTTGCTTGGTTATTTCCACCAACATTCCAAGAACCTTCTCCTTTTCTCATATATATTCTCAAATCTTCTCTTTCTGCATTTCATTAATCTAAACTAGCTTTTTCACTTCAACATAACACATCCAAACAGCTCCTAGATTCTTCATCAAAATGGCTGCGAAACGTCTTTTAGATGATTCTGATCAAGACAAACACAAACGTATCAGAACTACAACAACACCTTCTTTTGCCTCGTATGTTTTTTTATTCCTTAAACCAATCAAACCATCCAAAATATTCATTCATTCATTCATTCTCTTCTTTGCTTAATATTCTTAATCCTTTTTATATGATCCAACTATATATACAATAGTTTAATTATTAAATGTTGCATATTAATATTAATTACTTTCAATTTTCATGTGATAGGGTAATAGGAGAAGTTGTTATGGTGAAAAACATGCAAAACCTTTTCTCTGGCTTGGAACCATTACTTAGAAGAGTGGTAAGTAACAATTCAACTTTTACCATTATTTACAAATGAAATTATTGTTGACTATACTTTAATTAAATTTATCCGTAACAAACATGGCCTTAATACGATCAGGTGAACGAAGAAGTGGAGCGAGCAATGAGACAATGTTATCCATCGCGATCAATAACAAGATCACCTTCATTGAGACTTCAAGCAATGGAACATCCATCAAGTTTTCAATTCATTTTCAAAAAGAAGCTTTCACTTTCAATATTCACCGGTAGTAGATTACAAGACATGGATGGAAACTCAATCAATGTCATTCTTGCTGACAAAAGCAATGGCCAAAACGTTCCTACAAGTCTACCTCCCCCAATCAAGATAGAAATTGTAGTTCTTGATGGAGATTTTCCATCTAGTGAAAAGGAATCATCATGGAATAGTGAAGAATTCAATAGTAATATTGTGAAAGAAAGAATCGGGAAGAGGCCATTGCTTACCGGAGAATTGAATGTTACTATGAGAGATGGAATTGCACCAATTGGAGATATTGAGTTCACCGATAATTCAAGCTGGATTCGTAGCAGAAAGTTTAGACTTGGTGTTAGAGTTGTGCCAGGGACTAATCAAAACGTTCAAATTCGTGAAGGCATGACTGAGCCTTTTGTTGTTAAGGATCATCGCGGAGAATGTGAGTTTTCTTTCTTTCCTATAATTCGTAAAAGTTGTTTAACTTTGTTGAGATATAACTAATAATTAATATTTTTGATAAAAATGAAGTGTACAAGAAACACCATCCACCAACTCTAAATGATGAAGTGTGGCGGTTAGAGAAGATCGGAAAAGATGGAGCATTCCACAAAAAATTGACTTTGGCAAAAATTACAACAGTTCAAGAGTTTCTCAAATTATCTGTAATTGATCCTCAACGACTCCGAAAGGTACATATACATATATAACATACCTTCTCTGAATTCAAAAAAACAATATCATTAATGCTAAATAAATTATTAACATTTATAATAAATAAGCTAATAATGTTGATATGATTTTGCATTAAGATATTAGGCATTGCAATGTCAGAGAAAATGTGGGATGCAACAATGAAACATGCAAAGACTTGTGTAATGGAAAACAAAGTTTATGTGTACCGTGGGCCTCAATTTACCATTCATCTGAATGCGATATGCCAAATGGTTAGAGCTTATAACATCAATGGCCAAACCATTCCCAACAGAGACATTAACAACATCAACAAGGTACATTTATTTAATTACACTAAAAATTTCCTTGTTTGTTTCATCACTTTTAATTTTACTAAGATATGATTTTTAACCTATAGTTTATTTGATTTGCAGAGCTTGATACAAAACTATGTGAGAGAAGCATATGCTAGATGGAATGAGTTGGAGGAAATTGAAGAAGGTTTGAATGATAATGTGGAACCAACTCAGTTTCAAAACAATAATAATCATCAATCATCAGTTATAGGATATGATCAGAATCAGTATTTTGGTGATAAATGTATAGAGGGTGGCAATTATGTTGCAAACAACATTAATAGTAATAATTCAGAAATTGGGTGTATAGAATGGTCACCCTTTGCCACTTCACTATTCATGAATGGAATGCATTATAGTTTTCCAGAGTCACAATCAGATGGTGGTGATATAACACCTTCAAGTTCAGGACCAGTCATTGGTGGAGCCTCCTCAAGGTGGCATTGACCGGAGAATCAAATTAGTATCAAGTGTTGGCAAAAAAAAAGGTGTAACCTAGATTGTTTTATCGAGAATTTCTTAATGCATCCTATGGATCTCTACTCCATTCTAGTGAAATTTTGAAAATACTTTCAAATTTTAAATATATATATCCAGACGCATCGTATTTAATATATTTTTGGATGCATCTGAAGATATATTTTCGAAATTTGAATGACAATTTCAAATTTTTATATGGACTTTTTCAACCATATAAGGTGGATTTAGAAACCCTCGTTTCGTCTAAAGTTGGACTCAGTTTAATATGTGTCTTTGTAGGTAGGTTTAGGGATTTTCTAGGCCCATTTTAAGGTTGTGTGAAATATGGGTCTTGTTCCTCTTCTGCAAAAAAATGCAAACCTGCCTTTACTGGCCAGTGTTGATACGTGTATCAAAATTTCAGCAATTAGTACCATTTAAATAACAGAAAAGCAATTACGAAGGAGTATTTTAATTAATAGCATGTGAAAAATATTAAAAATAAAGTTTATGTAAATTTAACATATTGAAAGATAGAGAGATCCTAGATAAATCAACATCTTATTGTTAATGCTCTTGTATTTGAACAAAATATTCATAAGTTTTTGTGATTAATAATTTATTCGGTCGGTAACAAGATGTCTTACATAATATTGAGATAACGTGTGAGAGAATATAATATGAAAAGAGTGATGAACAAATAAATAAAATATAAAGTAAATAAAATAGATAATTGGTAATTAAGTTCGGTGGAACGTCACCTATGTATGGAGTGTAACCCAAATGAAAATCAAAATAACTAATTCATGTAGTTAGTAGTACACGACGATCTCATCTAAAGTCTTTTAGTTCAGTTTCCTTTTTCTAATACTACTCATGAAGTTCTCTTGAATTTGAGATACATTCACATTCACTCAAACACTCTTCCAAAGTTTACAAGAAAACAATTATATGCGGAGTGATTTAAATCACAGTTATAAACCAAATATTATATCCTTCTAAATTAAGAAAGACTCTCAAGATAGAATATTACACAAGAAAACACAAAGACTCTAATAAAGAAAAAATACGACGCTCAACTAACAATAATTCAAAACAAATGAGTCTTCAAACAAGGAGAACCATCTCCTTAAATAGAAAAAACGATATAGCTGAAAAGCCTAGTAAAATTTAATAAAAAAACGAGTTGAATCCAAAACTAGTAAATCAAATCTTCTTAAATAACATTAAATCTAAATCTTTTGATTAAATCTTATCCAATCAAAATATTCTTCTAATATGATTTAACAAAGTTCTTCTTCAACTTGATTTGGATTAAAATACTTATTCTTGTTGGAAATACACCTAAACCTATGATGAATTTCAATCAATCTTAATGAACATGATTGTTATCATTATACAATGACAATGAAAAAAAAATAAAGATAGAGAAAGAAAGAAAGAAGATTATTTTCTGTAGAGTAACTCTCTGCCTACAAACTGTGGAAAAATCTTATTTACTTGCAACTGCAAATTCTGTGAATACTAGTTATATTTTCAAAATAGGGGTTACTCCCTCTATTTATAATGAGTTTGCTTGCTCACTAAGGCAAAGCACAAAAACTATTAAAGCCCAAAAACTATTTTAGACCTAAGTCGAAATCATGTGTCAAGCGAACTGCTTCGACACTTTGACATACTACAACTTCGACAGACTAAGTGACACACACACACACACACATTCTAGACTAATTTTAACAGACCTTGTGCCAGGCAACATATTGCTTTAGAAACAAGGAATTACAATCTCAACACACCACCTAATTCTTTGTGTCTAAGCTATCTACATTCATCATAGCTCTTAGTCTTCTAAACACTTCGACCTGCACTCCCTTAATCGTGATATCTGCAATTCGGTTCTCAATTCTATATTGTTTCAAGTTCATCTTCCCTTATGCTACATGCTCTTAAAGATAGTGAGACGTTATTTTGATGTGTTTGCTTCTGCCATGCGTTATCAGATTCTTCACCAAATTGATAGCCAACATGATATCTATTTTCATGGAAATTGCTCCATATTTCTTCCCTGTAATATGTTCGACCAGATTCACCATCTATGTTGCTTGACATGCACAAAGAGAAGCAAATATTTACTCTTCTTCACACGATGATAATGCCACAACTGGTTCTTTTATTGAACTCCAAGCAACTGGTGCACCAACTAGCATAATTACATAACCATTTGTAGATTTTTATCCTCGGCATCACTACACCAACCTGAGTCAGTGTATCCCACTAACTTGCATTCTTTTCCTCTATCATCCGCAAAAAAGAAAATTCCATAGTTGAGAATTCCTTTGAGATACCTTAGTATCCTCTTCGTCGCTGCTAGATGTGATACCTTTGACTTCTACATGAATCTACTCATCATACCTACATTGTATGCTTAGTCAGGCCTTGTGTGACAAAGGTACCTTAACAATCCAATAAATCTTCTATATTGAATAGGGTCGACATCATCTTCATCTGAATCTTTTGACAGTTGCAACCTTGGTTCAGCGGGTGTCAAAGTCGAGTTGCAGTCTTCCATCTCAAATCTCATGAGAATTTCTCCTGCATATCTTCTTTGATGCATCATCAGCCCTCTACTACTCTTGTAGAATTCAATGCTAATGAAGTATGAAATATCACCCAGATCAGACATTTTGAATTCCTTGCTAAGATCACTTTTGAAGTCTTCGATCTCTTTCTTGCAGCTACATGTTATCAACAAGTCATCGACATAAAGACATAGTATAAACAAGTCATTCTTGCTTCTTTTTATATATACTCCATGCTCAGTTGTGCACTTCACAAATTCGTTCTCCCTTAGGAAACTATCAATCTTCTTATTCCAAGCTCTTAGAGCTTGTTTAAATCCATACAGGGCTTTATGTAGCCTGTACACCTTTCTCTCTTCTCCATGCTTCACAAACCCAACTGGTTATGCAACATAGACTCCTTCTTCTAAGAGTCTATTCATGAATTCATATTTCACCTCCATCTGACATATGTTTCCACTATTTATTTCTACTAGACCAACAATCAACCTGGTTATTTTAATTCTAACAACATGTGCAAAACCCCTCATCAAAGTCGATTCCTTCTTTCATAAGAAATCCTTTCGCCACAAGCCTTGCCTTATGTCGATTTACTTCCCCTATGGGATTCAACTTCACCTTGTATACCCACTTGAAATCACCTTCCTTCATTCCTTGAGGCAATTTGACAAGTGACCAAGTGTTGATGACTTCGATGGACTTCAATTCCTCATTCATAGCTTTCACCCACTTTGAATCTTTCAATGCCTCAGCTGCATTGACTGGTTCGACATCTGCATAGAAAGCATAGTGTACAAGCTCACCTTCATTATTGAATTCATCATCTAATATAATCACACATTCTTGTAACCTTGCAAGCACGTGTCTTGTTCTTTGAGGTCTGTTTGAGCCTGTATCATCTCTGACTTCTTCTAGTCGAACTTCTTATATTTCGACTTTAGTTGTTGGTTCTTCACAAAAGATCATCACTGAATCCTTGTTCACATTTTCAATCCAATCTCATTCCTTAAGCTCATTTATGATCATGTCCCTGATGATCACCACTTGCCTGTTCACTTGGTCAATTAACTTGTAACCTCTAGTCGGATGATATCCTATTTGGTCATCTGACTCGACTTGTCATCAAGTTTTCTTCTCAACATATCTAGCACATGTCAATGACCTATAGATCCAAATACTTTCAGATGACTCAAGCTGGGCTTCACACCAGACCAACATTCTTCTGGCATAATTCCTTCTAGCTTCTTCATCAGATATCTGTTCAAAATGTATGTTGCAGTCGATATAGCTTCACCCCAAAACTCTTTAGGTGAATTCTTTCCTTTTAACATACTTCTCGCCATGTTCATGATGGTTCGATTCTTCCTTTCTATATTTCCATTCTGTTATGGAGTGTAGGGTGGAACCACATCATGCACAATCATTTCTTTCTCACATAACATGTCAAAGTCTTTCGGCACATATTCAATACCACCACCAGGTCTCAAAATCATGAGCTTTCAACCAGTTTGTTTTTCAACCATAAATTTAAACTTGTTAAACAACTCAATCACTTCACTTTTCTTTTTGATCAGGTAAGTGTTGATGCGGTAAAGCGGCAAGCAAAAAGTAAGTTATTAAAAATTTATCGGATGATATTTAGGTTATGTTGTATAGTGTCTGTGATACGGTGGCATAATCGACTGTTAATACTGGCTTGTGTTTTGTATTCGCAAAGGTCGCGGTAAGCAAGAGTCACCACCGAATTTTATATCATCCAACAAAGGAAAAGGAAAAAGAAAAGAAAAAACCTTATTTCGAGATGTTTCTGAGTAAGGGGGTAGATTATAGAAAGGGAAGGTGTTAGCGCCATTTCTATCTGTGGTTTTCCATGGGCTCTTAGGTACTTGCTCATTTTGAAATTTCTTGTGTGTGTGTTTTAAAAAAGTTTTTGTTTAACTTCGTGGTAACCCTTGTATCTGTCCTCAAGAGTGTGACTAAGTTTGTTTTTTTGAAAACTGTTTTGAAAGTGTTTGTGAAAAAGTTTTGTTGTTTTGAGTAAGTACTTAAGATTTTCTACCTACTCGAAAAAAGACTGTTTGTTCTCGTTTCCTTTAGACAGCGCTATCCTACTATTAAGGAGTAGGTAGCCCCATCGTTGGAGTTTTAAGGGACATTTGAAGGGACGAGTACGGTCACAAAAGCAATAGTTAGGAAACTTTAGTGATTACCCTAAAGTCCTAAAGATATTTCCGAGGCAACATCCGAATGGGTCATTTTTGATCTTTTGGGATTAGAGGACGACCACTAAAATTCCCTATGCTTCATGACCGTTTACCGAAGGCAATCGGAGTGGGGCAAACCCTAGGAGTGAGCATGTGCAAGTGTACTTTTTTCAGTTAATTATCTTTGCACAATTAGGGTTATCTA